TAATGATTTCAAAGATATACTAACTGGTTCTGATGATGGCGATGGATCACCAGCTGCTGTTCCAGAGGAGGTGCGAAGCAAGATTGTTGATGACAGCAGGAAATCAGCAGAAGTTAGAGCTGCTTGTACATCAGGGACTGAACCCAAGTCTGGAAAACTGCATGAAGCTTCTTATAGCCCCATGAATGCTTTGATTGAGAGCTGTGTAAAATATTCTGAATCAAACGTGCCTATGTTACTGGGTGATGCTATTGGTATGAATCTCCTTGCCAGTGTGGCTGCTGAAGAAATGTCCAAGTCTAACATGGTCTCACCTTCTGTTTCCCCACAAAGAAACATCCCTGCTGCTGAAGATGCTTGCACAGGCGATGATGCTAAGTCAAAGTCACCTCCTGGTGATATCTCGGCTGGTGACCGTAAAAATGATGATGCTGGTAATGGAGAGAAACTCGTTATTGCTAGTGCTTCATGGTCCGAGGATAAACTGCTTTCATCCATGGGTGCTGCAATGGAGTTACCTGGAGATAGAAAGGCCTCCATTTCACCTTCTCAAGAGACAATGACAGGTGGATGCAATAAACAGTTCAACTCTCCCTGCTTTGATTCACAGATGGCTGGAGAAAAGTTGGAGATCACTGAGAAGTCAGGTGAGGTGGAAAAGTATGCTTCTTCACCTCATAGTGTATCTGAGAAGGCAATTGATGGTGAATTAAGCAAGCAATTCCATGAGGAAATGGTGGTGTCCCGTGAGGTCAAAGTTGAAGGTGCTCTAGATGCTAAATTAGGTGGAGATGGTATTTCAGTGTTAGGAGACAAGGTCACTAGTGCAGTTGCAAGCTCGGAAGACCAGAAACCATCAGTTGAAGTCTGCACTTCTAAATTTGAAAGTGAGAATAAAAATGGCATGAACAGGGTGTTGAACATTGCTAGTACTGGGATGAAACCATCTTCGGTAGTGGTAAATTCCGAAAAGATGGAGGGAAGTGACAAGGAAGAGCGCTTACCGACCAGTTCTAGTGGAGATCCCACCACAGTCAGAGGTGGACGATCTGATGAAGCTAGTGTAAATCTTGTTAATCTGTCTGAAAAGGCAAAATCCGATCAAGGAAATGTTGAAGCTTCAGTTGAGGATAAAGCCCGTGTTGAAACTGACATAACTACAAGAAATCAGAAGGGCGAAGCTAGTGTTGAAAGGAAGGATGTTGTCCTTGTGCAGAACTCTGGTTTGTTACTCAATCAGAAAGATAGACCTCGATTTTCAAATGCAGAATTGCAGAAACATGAGGAATCTAGAGAATTAAACTTCTCTGCTGGTGAAGCAGATAAAACAAAGGACTGTGGATCTGCCAATGAAGAGACTTTTTTTGTCTCTACTGCTGCTCCAGAGTCCGCTTCAAAGGTGAAGTTTGACTTAAATGAAGGTTTTTTTTCTGATGAGGGGAAATACGGGGATCCAATCATCCTTACAGGCCCTGGATGTTTATCAAATGTCCATATTATGAACCCATTGCCTTTTGCTGTATCCTCAGTTTCCTGTAGTCTGCCCGCCTCCATTACTGTAGCTGCCGCCGCCAAAGGTCCGTTTGTTCCACCTGAGGAGCTATTGAGGGTCAAAGGTGAGTTTGGGTGGAAAGGCTCTGCTGCCACAAGTGCATTTCGCCCAGCTGAGCCCAGAAAATCACTTGATATGCCGTTAAGTTCAGCAACCATCTCTCGTGCTGAAGCTTCTACCAGCAAGCACAGTCGCCCTCAATTAGATATCGACCTGAATGTACCAGATGAAAGAACCTTTGACGACATAAATGGTCAAGATTCTGCTCTAGAGTTGATCTCTCCTTTGGACCATATTGCTAATCGTGCTTCATTGAAGAATGAAGTGATAGATTCTCCTGCTGTTCGTTGTTCTGGAGGACTTGATCTTGATTTAAATAGACTTGATGAACCTGGTGATGCAGGACAGTGCTCCGTGAGTAGCAGTTGTAGATTGGACGGTGCTGTTTTTCCTTCAAAAGCGTCAATGATTGGCTTGCCAACTGGGGATGTGAGGAGGGACTTTGATTTAAATAATGGGCCTGGTGTTGATGAGTCCAACGCAGAACAGTCTCTGTTCCATGATAATCATCAGGGAAGCATGCGTTCCCAACTGCCTGCTTCTAACCTCAGACTGAACAATCCGGAAATGGGGAACCTTTCTTCGTGGTTCACCCCTGGTAGTACTTATTCAACTGTGACACTTCCATCAATTTTGCCTGATCGTGTGGAGCAGACACCATTCCCAATAGTCACACCTGGTGCACAGCGAATCTTGGGTCCTCCTGCTGGTTCTCCTTTCACCCCAGATGTTTACCGGAGTTCTGTATTGTCATCTTCTCCTGCTGTGCCCTTCCAATCCTCCCCTTTCCAGTATCCTGTATTTCCTTTTGGAACAAGTTTCGCACTTCCTTCTGCATCATTCTCAGTTGGATCAACTTCTTTCGTTGATCCTTCCTCTGGTGGAAGGATTTATACGCCATCTGTAAATTCACAATTATTGGGTCCTGTTGGCACTGTGTCATCCCAATATCCGAGGCCATATGTCGTTGGTCTTCCCGACAATAACAGCAATTGTACCATGGACCACAATAGAAAATGGGGCAGGCAGGGTCTGGACCTTAATGCAGGCCCTGGAGTGGTGGACATGGAAGGGAGAGAGGAGTCGGTTTCTTTGACGTCAAGGCAACTGTCTGTTGCTGGTTCTCAAGCATTAGCAGAGGAGCATGGTAGGATGTATGCTGTACCTGGTGGTGTTCTGAAGAGGAAGGATCCCGAGGGAGGATGGGACAGTGAGAGCTTCAGGTTCAAGCAGTCGTGGCATTAAGATCAGGAAAAGCTACAATCTAGTGATTTTGAAAGGTGAGACATGTTTTATTTTTAAATCAGCAGATTCTTTTTAGCTGTTACGGTTGAGTGTGTGACCTGTGCCTCCTACATTGTTTAAGCATTTGTGTGCCATTTCTATGTAGGGAAGCGCCAGGACATCATGCATTAAATTGCATACCTCAAACTGTAAGCTTGTGGATTTTTATATGTTTGAGCTGCTACTCCTATGCAGAAACTATGATACATAACCCGGTGAGGAGTTGTCACCTCCCACCCATCCAAAAAAAAAAATGTAAAAATAAAAATAAGAGTCACTGCTCGCTTCCACCTTTGTGCACTATCATTTTAAAGGTTTTCTGCTGGAGCATGTATCCCTTTTTCTAGTTTGATTTAATTCTGTAAGAACAAAGATATCTAAAAAGTTGGAAATTTGGGGTCTTCTGTCCTAATTATCAAGACATTACTGTTGCTTTCCTCTTCCTCCTGAAAATTGATTTCCAGTAGGTCGTTAAATTTCTCTCCTTCAAATGTGAAAGGAAATTGCTCCGAGAAAAAGAAAGCAGCTCCTTTTATAGCCCTAAACTTTTTCCCAGTATCTCCGAGCTATTCCCTATCCTTAAACACTGGTTGCCCCTTACATTCCTTTTTTGGGGATCAAAAAATTTCAGTTTAGTTTTCGAGTTTGGAGATATTATCTTGTATTTTGGTGTGGCTGCATTTTAACACCCCATTTTTTAATTATTTTTTTCCTTTTAACACAGCTAATGGTGGATGGACTTTGGCTAACTCCTCAGACTCTCAGCTTCTGGTATGCTTCTACGGGGGTGGGTGGTAAGTGAGCAAAGGTGATGTGTTCAGAGTCTCCGACCTCCACCTCTTCAGTGTATCAGTGTAGTAGGGATTTCCATGGTTTGCGAGCACTTTGGTCAGCTTTATTCTCTGGGTGGATGCAGACGATGAGTTTTCCCTCTGTAGATATTTAACTGTTGGAAAGCTTGAAATCTTTGATGCCCAGGGACAAGGGAGAAATCAATGATATCCTTGTCCAAATTATTGACATTGGAGGTCCGGGTTCCAGACTGAATCAAATGGAAAGCTTTGTTTGTGCTTTGCTGTTAATCATCTTTCTTTGTTCCCCGTGTTCTTGGCACTTCTGTGTCCTCCTTTTGCCCATTACATATGTATACAGGGGTTGGCACCAAATTTTGGTACTAATGCTTTCATCAGGCATGTTTTAGTTGTTGTGGCTGCCATTGTACCATAAATTGAATCATTCTAACTTTAGATGTAGTCTCATTCACAGATGATAAAACTCTTGTTAAAGATGATATTTTCATTGGTGGTGGTGAGATGTGCTTGTTTACTTTCAGGCTATTATTCTGAACCAACTGTTCTTGAAAAACAAGGAAAAGACTTTCTTTCTGACTTGAAATTAAACGGGTGGAGCTCTGGGCATAGGCTATGGCTGATCTTATCATGCTTTGACAATTGTTGTTCATATAACAGATGATCAGTTGCATTAGCTTCTTGTGATGGTCCTCTCATAATCGATGCTTTTGTGAATAGCCAAGTAATCCAATGAACAGATTGCAGTTCGGTTTTGGAGTAGACTTGATATATGCTATTATGCAGGTAATTAATCACAGTAATCATAAGTGGCGTTGGTTCCACTTTACTTGTAGGCCATCATTATTGTACATTCCCTTTTTCCTTTATCATACGCCCAGGAGATTTACTTTCATTTGCTTTGTTTCAACTTTCAAGTACAAGATTTACGATTGTGCTCTGATGAGCTATATGCAGCATTCCATAGATGTAGGTGTACTCACAAGGTGCCAAAATTTAGAATGTGACCGACGACTGCAATATTGTTGGTCACCTAAGTGCTGTCCTTTAAACCTTACCAAAACATATGTAGTCCATTGAAATGTCAACATAGTTAATTTCGCACAACTATAGTACTACTATTGCAATATGAAAAAAAAAATACTGTTGCATTCACACTCTAGTCTACTTAGCATGCTGTCTGTGGTGTAGTTTTTGGCAAACAGCTGATTAGGTACAGCAGAATTAGTTGCATCTACTTGCAATATACCTAGATCCGATGTAAATTTTTACAATGACAAATCAAGTCTGTCCAGAGTAACAAGTTGGACTGCAGATAAACAAATACATTAGTCTCGTCATAAAAGTTCTCATAGAAACCTAAGTTTTGTAAGCAATGCACTCAAGCCACTGATATGATCATGCTAGAGACCGAATTGATGGGAAGTATATACATTGAGTTGTCACTTCAAACAAACGAGCTTCCTTCCGCACATCACATTCCTGCAGGGAACAGGTGAGAGAAGTTAGCATTACAGACAGTGGAAAATACTGCAAAAACTCGAGAGGGTCTCAAAAGCATAGGCAAAAACTAAGACAATGGCAGTGTCACACAATGAGTTTGAATTACATTAACACTATAAGAATCGCAAATGGAAATCAAAATGTTATCTCCTTAGTCTTTTGTTACCAGCCAGATGTCTCACCATTTAGTAGAGCCAAGTTGCCAATACTGGCCATCATCCCTCAAAACCAGGCCAGAACTCTCGAACTCTAGAAGTTGGTCACAGAATTATAATCCACTCACAATCAAACAGACATGCCTTCACAGTCAAATGGATCTTTTGTCATAAAAGGGGATTAGATTGGATAACCAGAAACTTTAGATGGGACCTTGTATTCTCTCTAGTTCATTGTGTCTGTCACTTCACCAGAAGCAGAAATTTTAACTTTTTTTTTTTAGGAATAAGCTTTGGTCAGAAGAGAAGACTGGATCCATGCTTTCTAAGTTAGCACAACATAACGCTTTTGTAGCTTGGCCTAAGTAGCTAACAGAATCAGAATATAAACCGAAGAGTGTTGCTACTGCAGACACTTCAACAGCAATAGCTGTAATGATAAAACTGAATTGATCAATCTGTGACAAGGAAGCACACTATCCTACCTAAATTTTATTCCAATCCACACAACCCCCTTACCCGAAAAAGTACCGCTTCAAATGTACGAGTTCACATTAATTCTCGATGCATCCCTACCAATGATTTCACTGCACATAGTAATTCCTTCTAAAAAGTGAAGAGAAAGAACCAACGGAAAGAAAAAAAACAGATTGCTTTCTAGTAATTTCTTCTTTAAATAAAGTAATGATCACGTCAAAAGGCAACTGTTATTTTAATCGTCACAAGCTTTTTATAAGGGAGTATTGAAAATAGTGTTTTTTTAAAAAAAAATTCTTATATGCATCAGTATATTGGATTTACATGTTCTAAGGGTATATTGTTTTTATTTTTTTGGTTAAGAAAGGACCTATTTAGTTACTGGGAGACACGTTGGTGAAGCATAGAGGCTTGACCAAAGTATTGTCTGTATTTAGTAGCGCAATTATTGTTTCCATATTAGTAGCACAACTATTGTTTCCGTATGCCAACTTAAAATGTCAATGGAGAAGTTTGCATCATCAATGCAACAAATGGCATGTAGCACCTTCCTATGTGGTACCAAATCTAAAAAACTGATTTTAACAGAGAAGGCTAAGAGAGTTACTAACATGAGACATCCTCGACGTTGTTTTTTCTTCTCCTTTTGCTTTTGTGGTGGCTTGATGACGACCTTGATTGCAGCATCAAATACACCTTTCACATTCTTTAGATCAAATAGGCAAAGTAAGGTGGTCAGTTACAAATAATGTAGTAATAAAAATAAAAGTAGCCAACCATCAAGCAACCAACAGCAGTGCCTCTGTATCTTAAGTAAAAGAAATTGTGGGAGGAAAAACTACGTGAGTATGGATCCAGTGGAAGAAAGGATTCTTAGACATACACAAGTTAGAAATAGAAATAAACAGTATCTGGAACGTTACATACTTCAAATTGGTCCTAATTGGTATAAATTTGAGTGGGAAACTCAAAGGTCTTGACCTAATTTTCAAAATAAGGGAGGCCAATGTGCCCTTTCAATGAGTAAGCTTCATTGACGAAGTTGCCTTACTGTATCAAGAAATTCACAAACAGCAACCCCACACACATGGAGTTAAAGATTCATTATCCATCCTAATCGTTCTTTTTTTTTCACTTGAATTGGATATCAGGTTGGTATTCAATCGAAGGATGTTATAACACAAGCCTGAATAATATTTGAACTGACTCGAGTTGATAAACCAGATACCTCCAGGAAATGAAAAACAGTAGCTGAATGAAGTTTCTTAGTATTAGTTGATAAATAGGCATAGCAAAACGCTTGAACAAAAGTAAATGGCTATTTCAGATTGCCACAAACTACAACATTGTCTGCTCTACCACTATTTATCTTTTTAGCTAAAAGTAGTTTTCACTCAACCAGCATCCAGTGGATTGCAATGCCCTACCCACTTCATTAACCACTTGGCTACACTTGGATGCACAATGCACTACCACTATTTTAAACTCCAAATGGTTCAAAGCAAATAGACATCAGAAAAAATTATTTTTGCAACCTCAAAATGATATTGTCTGCTGAAAGTGGCCAAAACAACTTCCGATAGGGAAAGCATATCCTAACATTTCCAGTCAGTTGATTAAAAATGATACCAAAAATAGTAGAGGTTTGACAAATATCTTCTGTAATATATTGTACATACACCTACAATAGTCAGTCACATACTTAAAGAAGTTGACAAGATTGTTGCCGTAGTTCAGAAAAGAAATGTTTCCAACTATCCCAATTAAGGATTGATCTGATACAGCATCGAGAAAATTTCTCCTCTAATAGTTAAAAGTTGAGGGGCTTTAAGTACTAAAACTAGAAGGAAATACTATCCTTTTAAAGGTTATCTACCCAATATTCTTGATGGATGCAAGTATGAACAAGGCAGAGATATTCAATCTTCATCCTATGTTTAAATAGGTAGTTGACTAATAGGCATTTGAGTGACATATTTGATACAAACTTGACACCCACAAAGCAGAAAACACAATCAACACAAGGCTAGCATATCCTCCCAGCTCACCCAAAGAACTAAAAATATCCTCCCATTCTTGGGCATTTGAAAATGAAGCAATTAATATGTGTAGCACGGTGACATTTGTTTCTGAAAAATGTTTTTTTCTTTTGAAATTTGTTAAATATTCTTCAATCTTTTTTACCTTTTTAAAACAAACTCGTACGATCTTTAATTCATGGAACCGTTTAAGCACCAATTTAACTGCATAACAATTTTTTAGGAAATGATACTAATTTGACCCACCTGTTGTGTTTTAGAGCTACATTCGATATAATAGGCAGCACCAATTTGTTTCCGCAGCTCCTCTCCCTGAATATGTGAAGATCAGTATCCCCTCCATTTATTCAAAATTATGCAAAGGAGCAAGATACAACTGACAGATTGGAGCCAGACCTGCGCAGTGGTGACAGGAACTAATCCAGGATGATCAGCCAAGAAGTGCTTATCCTCACGGAGATCTGTAGCATCATCCAGACGAAAGAAGATTTAATGCATAACTAAGAATCAAGTAACATTGCACATTGCGAGCAGAGCTTGCCAATTTCGCAAGTAGACAGCAAATAAGACACTCGTGACTATAGTAAAGTCATCTATTGACTTACTGACAGCAAACTGCTCTTCCATGATTATTGGTTCCATAAAGATGCTCAATGAAAACAAACAACAATAGCTACACAAGAAACTAAATCCGTTCTACTATGTAGTCTTAAATTCTGCTCCACCAAGGGGAAACAAGCTCACATGCTACAGGGACTTGACCACTAAAATACTTTCAAAGCACTAAGTACTCTTAGCCTCCACCTCCATAATATCATCGTCAATATAAAGATAATGTTTCAGCTAGATATGAATATGATTAGGTCTGACATATAGGGCCCTAGCCAGTCCCGCAGTAGACTGCTTTTCATCCTGATTTTGGTTTGTGGAATGATTTGAATAAGAACCTCTTTTTACTATATGTCAACATTGAGTAACCAAAAGAATGTGTTTCACTCTGATACCAGGTGAATAAAATAGAAATTGGGGCTAACTTTACCCTAAAAGTTAGCTCATGAAATTAGGACCGCTAAAAACCATTTAAGGAAACAACAACTCATTCCATCAAACAACGTGGAAAATACTTAACAAGTACCATGACTTTGAGATAAACATTAATGTTCAATTTTCTTTCTACCCTAGAATGAGATTCCACCTTAAATAAATGTAAAGGGAGCAATATAAAGTCAATCAACTGAGATTAAAAAAAAAAGAGCAAATATTAGAGATCATCATAGGAACTGCAATCTGCTAAACCTACCAGCCAAACATGTATTTTAAATTTCACCACCACAAATTCTTGGGCATGAGATATATTTGGTATTTAAATTATTCCCATTGTACTAAGATTACTAGCTTGGCACTACTAGAATATACTGAAAAAAATGACTCTGCGACCTTTTCTTTGGCCTATAAAATTCCTTCTCCTGTGGGGCAGCCCGGTATAATAAGGTTTCATTATGGGCAGGGTTCAGGGAAGGGTCGGACTACATTGGGTTAATTGTTGACAACTTTATCTTTCATTTCTGCAACAGGCTGATTCCATGGATTAAACTCGTGACCTCCTAGTCACATGATGGCATCTCTTACTATTAAGCCAAGGCTCTCCTTCATAAAATTCCTTCTCGTGTGTGATATTAAAATCTGCAGCTCCTTTACCTTTGCTTTTATAGATTATTTTGAAATTAGAACACATAAAATATTAACACTTCACTAATCAATCTAATAGAATTACGATTAACATTTATATTGCACTTCTTTTAAGCTAAGATTGAAAAGCATCCATCACCGAGTACAAAAGCACCATTTTCACAATCATGGAGTTGCCAATCATCCTAACCCTCTATGCACATGACCTTTACCTATGGCCCTTAAATCTTGGTCTTTTAACGTGAAATAGTCTATCTATTTTATTTTTTAATAAGGAAATAGTGTAGTGGAGAGGTACTTGATGGTAGCTATAGGAGTGGTACTCAAGGCTCTTATAACATAGTAGAAAATATAAATATTTGCAAGGAACTTGGAAGCAAGAGAAGGAGAAGTTGCTCTCAGTAAATTTGGTTTTCAGAGTAAAATGTGTCTTAGGATAACAATCACAAAGGCTATGCAATCTGGCATTATAAGACTTGCTTGACACCTGCAATAATAACACTAAAAGATTAAGGGTACAAGTAACAACAGGAAAAGGGAAGTATAGCTTGGGAAGGCTATGTTTTGATTTGGTAAGACTTTATTATGTACCAGAATGGGGAAAAAGGAAAGGAAAAAAAAGAAGAATCCAAAGATAGCTTTCTATAGAAATTTTAGTTTCACAAGCTGCAGTATGCATGTTAAATCAGAAATAATTTTACATACATTGCAAGTTCAGAGATTTCATATGGATATCTGAAGCACATATTCTATAAGATAAGTTAATTATGGCACAAACAATAATGCATCTGTGGCTCAGGACAATCAAGTTGGGTAAAGAGCAGTTAAAAAAAACAGAGAGCAACCAAAAGCTTCAAGGAATAAACCTAAGAAATCAAGGTACATTCATCGATTCCAGAATGCTATCTATTACAGCATCTAATAAAAAAAAAGGGTAGCCCGGTACACTAAGCTCCCGCTATGCGCGGGGTTCGGTGAAGGGTCGGACCACAAGGTATATTGTACGCAGCCTTACCCTGCATTTCTGCAAGAGGCTGCTTCCATGGCTCGAACCCATAACCTCCTGGTCACATGGAAGCAACTTTACCAGTTATGCCAAGGCTCCCCTTCAAAAAGCTAAGGGCAACCTTAGCATTTGCGCTTGAATGTTTGTCATCTTAATTATTAAGCTTTACTGCAAAAGTTAAATGAATGTGAAGCTTATTACTAGACTAAATCCCTAGGGACCTCTACTACATACATCTTTAGGTAGCCAGGCACATTCTTTAATTTTGAGAAGCTTGGGCAGCCATCTATCTCTCCTCATTTCCTCACATACTAAAACATACTCCATCCTTGTCATCGGATTTTGCTTTTGGATTTCCAATTGAATAGACCGAAGCATATGGTGCCCCATCTGGAGTAGCAAGTACAATATTGCGAAAATATGTAGTGAGTGCAACTTGAAGAAGGTTTATCATACAAATGCAAAATGTGAAAATTACTAATTAGGTGACTTTCCTCCTAGTTGCCACTTTACTGTTGTCCCTGAGAACACTTGAGGCAGAAAAGTTATAGCCGCATTTTTTGGGAGTACAAAGTTATAGTGACCATTTTGATGCGCAGAGCATGGCTTCCGTAGAGATACTCCCCCAGTTCCATCTCTAGACCTCCCTCCGGTCATGCAATCCCCTTAAGTTATACTGTATTCATGTCTTTTTACCTCCATCGTGCAATCCCCTTAAGTTATTTACACTTTTGAATACAATATTAGCGACTATAAACTCTGAAAACTACAAAGTACAGCCACATTCAACACATTAACATTTTATATTTGCTTTTTTATAAGTAGACATGTTAGCATTTTAGCAAGCACATCATAGAACAAAGTGACATTAAACTGCAGCAGTTACATTCAAGAATCAGCATTTGTTATAATTGCTAATTCAGGGAACATGTTAAATACTTACCAAGTTTGGTGCCAGCTAATACCACCGGAATTCCAGGAGCATAATGCTGAAGTTCGGGAATCCACTGACCAAAAATGGGCATTCAGCAATCTTAAATACATTCGATACAAACTCACAAAGTTCACAGTTTTCAACAGAAATTACCTTCTTAAGTATGTTTTCATAGCTTGCACGACTAACCAAGGAGAACGCTAGGACAAAAACATCTGCTCCTCGGTAGCTCAGTGGCCTTAATCTGTTGTAATCTTCTTGTCCTATAAAGATGATCAGAGGACAGAGAAATCAGAATTCCTTTGCCTCCTTAAAGGATTAGGAAATGATTATTACAGGATGTTACTGCTTGACTTTGAGGAGGCAAAATAAGAAATCATATTGTAACAAATCAGCTGTAATTAAAAATATGTTTTACCTGCAGTATCCCAAAGACCTAAATTTACTGTGGTCCCTTCAACAACCACATTGGCACTGAAGTTGTCAAACACTGTTGGAACATAGTCCTGGTTTGAACAGATACAACCACTCAGAAAACTGAAGTTCAAGCTCAGGAAAGAAACTCAACAAATACTCCTGAATCACACAAGTTAGCCATAACATTCAGTTCTTTCTAGTTGATTAGGTCTTTTTTTTAAGGGTAAACGAGGAGGGGATTCCAAGGTGTGGAATCAAGCCCTCACCAACAATGTAAAAGTTCAGTTAACCAACCATCTGAGCTACTAACATTCCCCAAAGTTGATTAGGTGACCATTACATTTTCCTTAGGGTGATTTTTCTCCCCCACTCCCACCCCCTTACTTTTGTGACCTGGTGGAAGCAAGAATGCAGCATACCAAGAGAACACAATCCAACAAGGCAATTCAAGAATAGGTTATATAAAGCTATAAAAAAAAACTCAGGCAAAAAGAGAGCATATTCTAAAGTAAAAAATCAGAAGAAACACCAACAACAGAAAAAAGAAGGAAAAAGCTGCTAAACCCACATATAAAAAACCAAAATCCTGCTTATCTAGGCATCAAACACAAACAATGAGACACATATCAAGAAACCCACATGGATCTTTTGGGGAAAAGAGAAAGTAAATAAAAAATAGTCCCTACTTACAGTGGGAAACTTGTTACTGGTATAGCAAATAAGCATACAAGTCTTGCCAACAGCCCCATCACCAACCGTGACACATTTGATGAATCTTGAAGCACTTGAGGCCATCGAACATGAAAAAACCTCAAGAAAAGCTGCAAACCCCAAATGGAGCAAAAATACCAAGAGAGAATATTAGCCCCAAGAAAAAAAGACTTAATGACTAGTGACTAGTGAAAGGAAAGAGCAAAAATCACATGATTCCTACTGAATTCACTGGCTCTCTGTAGCAAAGCTGTCACCTTTTTTATTCAATCTTCTTGGAAAATATAAAAACTGGAACTTTGATTTTTGGTATTATACTATTATTACTAAAATTGGATACCCAAAAACTGCAGATATGGTGTTTGTATTGAATTCTTGTGGGTCTTGCGGTACGTTTGTTACATTTATTAATTTTTCTTGTTTGAGAAGAGTAGTAGTTTGCAATTAATAGCTTTTCCCACAATAAGAGGAGAGACCCCTTCAAGTGGATTAGTTAAAATGGGTCCTGTGACAGATGAGATGTGGGTCTTTGTTTTTTTTTTTTGGTTTTTCCGTTGTGGTACATAGTAATTTCGTCTTTGCATTATTGACAGTTTTAAAACATCTTTTTATTTGACTAAATTTAGCTATTTCCTCGATCTGACACATGACATAGCAAGTGGTCTCAATTCTTATAGGAGAATGGGGTTCTTAATTAAAAATCGAGATAAGTGTTGAAAATACTCCTAAACTTGATTAGAATTCAGAGGTGTATTTCACTCATGTTGAAAGATGTGAGGTGTATTTAAATCCAGTTAATCAAGTTAAGGAGTGTTTTTAAGTTTGTTGATGGTTCAAAAATGAAACTAATAATTTACATCAAGTTTAGAAATATTTTCAATACTTCTCTTCAATACTTGCATTAGAGCCCGATTAATTCGAACTCGAGTTGAATAGGCCCCATTAGTTGGTTTTGTTGATACGCTTGATTGACAAATCATGTTGCTGCTTTAAGATTGAACGATTTTCCTTTTTTTTTATTCTTAAAGAATTACTATTGGCAAGACCAATCTCTCAAAAGCCAAATAAAAAATCCAAATGGTTTACTAGTTCGACCACACCTAACATTTATAAAAGTTAGTATCATAATATTTTACAGATACAATGAAATAAAAGAAACTCTTTACACTATCGTGCTACTTAAATGTCAATTACACGTAGCATTTATAGCAAGTATGTGTTGGTAACCTAAAAAAAATGACAAATTATAGGTTGAAACAAGTAAAAAATTACTTACACTATTAATTAACGTATGCTAATAACATTTCATTGTCCAGTATAATTTTACAAATAAATTTGGACAGAATGGGTGTATGCAATTAGAAATGTTGTTTAAATACATTATTAATGTATATTAGTTAAACGATATTATTTAGTTATATGCATAGCTTTATTAATTTGTTGGATAATTTGTAGTGTTTTAAATTTGCAACCATAATTTAGTTGTTAAGTAAGTGGATTTATGAAGTGCAGGTTCAAATTTCAATATAAATAGAGGCAAAAAGATTGATTTTTATTGGATAAGGTTATTTGATACTTGTGGGGATAAAATTTAAGTGTCAAAATTAATTGTAGTGAGTGCAAATATTGCATGTACATGGAATTAGTTAAAGTGCATGTAAGTTGATTCGGATATTACGATATCACTATAACTCGCTGTTCACTTAAATTGTTCACATGAAATTTGAACATCTTTTAAGCAATAATAAATAAAGTGCGTACAATACACCAAAAATAATCTTTAGCGACAATTGATTAATAACAATAGCTTAATTGTCGTTAAATGTGTATTTTTAAGGACAATTAGCACTCTTTGTTAATGTTTATCAAACCTATAGCAACATTAATTCCAATAACAATCAACTAATGACGATAAAGATTTTTTTTATTTCTTTCTATATTTCATAAGGTTGTGGTAGCTTCCATGCAACAACCGAAGTTAAAAAAAGAACAATGCTTTTGAGTTCAATGGGTAATTTAAAGTGCATCGAGTTAGGTAGTTAAGACTTTATTTTATTGCTTTTATGGTAGTTAGACTCCTTTAGGTTTTTTATTGCCCTAAACTTGTAGGCAATCATTCCTGTAGTTGAGATTAAATGCACAATAGTAATGAGACTGACAATTCTATTTTCCATTTTATGTAGTTTTACAAAAGAGAGTTGTCGTTTCGAGGTTTGGATGAACCACTTTACATCAAATAATTAGCCTCTTCAATTTCTTACTAGGATCTCTAAGCTTGTATTTAAATTTATATAGATTTTTCACGAGTAACAACTAGCTAGTATGTTCTCGAATTTTAAATTTCAACCACAATTATATATTTTTGAGTTCAGCATATTCTCCATTTTCAACCCCTTCTATGGGCAAATGTGGAAATTAGCAAAAAGACGTACAAAAGTCCCACTATATCCTTGTGTTTGAAGGAAACCCAAAAAGGAAAAAGAAAGATGAAAAGCAAGAAAGGGATATAAGAGAAAGGCAGAAAACAAAGAACATGTGAATGAAAAATCAGTAATTTAAAAATAGAGGTGTCAAATAGACGGATTGAATTGAATTTAATTGGGTCAAAATGAGTTGACTTAATAAATAAATTGATAATCAATTTGCTCAAAAGTTACTTAAACTTAAATTAAATGAAATGTATGTTATAACTCAACCCGCACAAATCTTACTAAATTTTAATTTCTTTATTTATTCTTTTATAATTATTCATACCTATAAAACTATGCATTGGTTTGAAATGCATTGAGCATATAAATAAGCAAATTAATAATCAATTCAAATTTAGATAAATTAAATAAATTATATTTTTATCAGCTAATTTTACCGGTCACTGAAAACACAAAATGCTTGGTACATACTTGCACAAAAACAAAGAAGAGCACATGTATATTGCGGTCAAGTGTCACAAGTTTCTAGTGAATGAGTATTCTTGTGGGACCACTATCACTTATTTAGGGGTCTTTTGGTGTGAGAGATAAAAATAAATAGTCATAAAATAAGAAAATAGTGATGGAAATTTTTTTTTGTGTCTTGTTTGATTATCATGTTTGGGATAACTTATTCACCATTTATACCATAGTGATAAGATAAGTTATTTCATATACATGGTGGGATAAGTTATTCCAAAATAATCAATCCTAAAATAACTGGTATATTTAGGACCACTTTCCCATTTAGGACCACTTTCCCACATAAAATCTTGGTATATTTTTGTCACCAACTTATGCACGATCTTTTTTTCTATCCAAACAACCCTAGAAAGATTAATTGTTGATATAAATAAGAAACAATTTTGCATAAAAAGAATTCCTCAGTTATTAAGTTTATTATTATTGTTGTAAGTTTGTATTAAGACGAGATGAATGGTAGATTAGTGAAATGCGATGGCTGGTTTAATTGAACTATTTCTTGTGTTATGTTTTGGGTTAAATTGGATGTTCTTCTTATTAAGGGGTCATTTGGTCCACACACTAGGGTATAGGTATGTAGGATTATAATGTGGGGTTCATTTATTCAACAAAAGATAATAATTAAGAAATTTGTATGCCATGAAAAATAACGTATAAATTGTTATGCGATGAATGTTGATACACAAAATATTATGCAAGGACTATTTTCTTTTATTACTATTTTTCTTGTTATTTCATACTAAAAATATCATATTCTTGTTTTATCTTTCGATAATTTTATCAGGCATAAAATAAAACTTTAAATAGCCTAGTTAAAATAAAAATCTGCATAATTTGAATTCAAAACAAACTAAAATATCTCAACAAACTAATGTATCTATCTAATAGAAATTTAAAATTCAAATTATCCTAAATTTGAGCAACTTATTAAATTAAAAATTAGTGAAGTAAAATTCAATACTCTCTTTTTAGGGAAGACGAGGGAACAAATTAGAGCTATCAAAGAATTAACGCAAACTAAATGATTGTTGTTTTAAGAGTGAGTGGCTATTTCTAGTGATTTGAGGCTAATTTTTCCTAGTCACGCCAACTAAGTATTGCATTAGTTATTGGTTAAGAAAAAGGTGATGTCTAGGCAAAGGTAAATTATTGAGCACTTTTAAGTTGGTGAGAGGTGTCATAAGTAAAGATTAAGCAAAATGATAAAAGTAGGCTTCATTAATGATGCCCAAAATATTTAAAAAGTGCTAAAAGTGATGTTAATTAACTTTGTGCAATAAGACTCTTTCGGTAGACGAAATTGAAACTAAAGTTAGGCCATATTCAATAAATGGAACTTGTAAATTAAATAATGGTCCTTATTATGCTTAGCTTCTAGATCAACTAATTACCAATTTATCATGACTATATTGTAAAGACAAACCTTCCATGGATTAGCTTAAATTAGTACTCTCTTCGTCTCAATTTATGTGACACTTTTCGAATTTCGAGATTCAAAACAAGTCTATCTTTCAGTGTAATTTTTTCATATATCTTTTAAATATTTTGAATTGTCAATTATGGTGATTTACAATACTTTTTATGTAGTTCATAAATATATAAATTTCATTTCAAAAAAAATTGAAGATTCCATGCGCAAATTCCCAGTCAAACTTAAACTTTCTGACTCCCGAAAAAATGAAAAATGCCACATAAGTTGGGACAGAGAGTAGACAATTTAGTTAGGGAAATTGAAGAGATCGACAATCACAAACTATTTTTGTTCCTTCTTTTGGTGTCATGCAATGGAGAAGCAAGAATTTTTATAAGAAAATTCTAAGTACAAAAAGTATACTACTAAGAAGTCAATATATATATATATATATATATATATATTCGTTAAAAAAAATTCTACATGCAATTTTCCTAATGAAGGGGTGTCAATTAAACTCTCTTCGATTTTTTTTTGTTTTCAATACAAATATATGTGAGTGTGTGTGTGTTAGTTTACAAATAAAATAGTAGTGTATATAATTAAACCATTGTGTATACTGTATTTACAATTAAAATTTGTGATGGAGAGATAATTGATAAATACTCGTCTCGTCCTTCATCTTTAATTTGAAGTCTCGAATTCAAATCTTAGAATCAATAGTCATCTTTAATAGAAAACATTTTATCCTCAAAGTGAAATTTTCAAACACAATCTAAATTAATCAAATTACAAAGCTAATACCAAACACCAAAGAAAGGAAGACGACAGGGCCCAATGCATAGTCTTTGTTAGATGGCACACGATCAAATACGGGTCATTTGCACTTTTAGCCTATTTAGTGCTGTTTTTTAATTTATGTCTTTCGTAACAATAATTTCTTTTAGGCATAAGTTTATATTTCTATTTATTGTAATGTAATATTCACAAGTTATATCTGAATATAACTTGATTTTCTTAAAAAATTATGTTGTACTATATACAAGTTTAATTGGTAAGAAACAAAAATTAAAAATTAATTCATTTGAAGGTCAAAACACGCCATTTTATGATGA